GCGACTGCTGTACGGCAGGAGACCTGCCCTGGGGCACCCACCCTCGCTTGCTGAGGGGCGCCGGGGCGGCCTGGGCTACGGGAGGGAAATCTTCCTGCTAGACCGGCCCGGGTCGACTACGCGGGCTGCCGGCTTTCCACCGAAGCCTCCTGACGCGTGGCGCAGTCTGGCCTGGGAGAGGGGAGACCCGGAATGCACGCTCGGGCAGTTTCTGCGAGCCGCTGTTATCAAGGCCGCTTCGCTGCGATCCGGGAGGAAGTGACGCTGGCCCGCCGCTTCACCTCGGCGGGGATACGGGCGGTGGGGGACCTGGTGCGGGACCGCGACCGGCACCCGGCTGGAGGTCCGCGGCCGACGTCAGCGGCGCCGCCGGACTCCGCACCGTGCTGGCCGGGGAAAAGCTGCTGCGGGGCGGCGCTCGGGCGATGCGGGAGCTGCGGCTGCGGCTCGTGGCGCCCGAAGACGGGCCCCCCCTCCTCCTTCCCCGAGCTGCGGCGGGCCCCCCGGGCGTGACGACTCCGAAAAAATACTAAACTCGGGGGCTGCCAGGGCGTGCCTTTTCGCAGCGCGCTGAAAGGAGCGCTGTACGCGTGCAGCGTGAAGACGCTGCGCTGCCGGGAGCTGGCGGAGCTCCCAGACACCAGGTGGAGGAGCGCCTTGGCACCGTCGGGCACGGCCACCCCCCAGTGGGGCCGCCCTGTACAAGGCCCCCCTCACCAAGCGCTGCGGGGACCTGCAGTGGAGGCTGCTCCACTGGACGCTGCCTTCGGCGGCGTGGCTAAATAAGATCACCCCGGAGGCGTCGGACCGGTGCGTGTTCTGCGGCGCGCGAGAAGACCTGGCGCACCAGTACGTGGGGTGCGCGCGGCTGTCCCGCTGTTCAAGCTCTGGGGGACATCTCGACGAAACTGGGGTTTGAGGTTCCAGAAGAACTGGTTTGTGTACGGGGTGCCCGTACTATACCCAACAAAAGCCACGACCTCCTGGGGTTCGTGTGTGCACAAGCCAAAATGGCCATCTACAAAACCCGACAGAAAAAACTGGCCGGCGCGTCGGATGCCGGCTGCTCGGCGGTGGCGACGACGCGCGGACTGGTCAAAGCGCGGCTCCGACTGGAGCACGCGTACCATGCGCACGTGGGCGACGACCACGCCGTCTTCCGCGAGAGGTGGGGGGCCGGGTCAGGCCCTCTGCACCGTGGCAGACGGAACACTGACTTTTACTTTTTTGACGGGCTGGCCTCGGACGACGGCGGAAAACGGCGACGCGCAATGACGCTGCGCGTCAAGAATGTGGCGCACTGTGCCGTTCTTCGCTGTCTCCAGCCGATAGGGCTAAAAAAAAAAAAAAAAAAAAAAAAAAAAAAAAATGACTCCGGCGCAATTGCGCAGGGGGGAATAAAGTTGCCCTAAAAAGTCAAAAAGTCTCTGTCTCTGTGTCTCTCTGTGTCTCTCTGTGTCTCTCTGTGTCTCTCTGTGTGTCTCTCTGTGTCTCTCTGTGTGTCTCTGTGTGTCTCTCTGTGTCTCTCTGTGTCTCTCTGTGTCTCTCTGTGTGTCTCTGTGTGTCTCTCTGTGTCTCTCTGTGTCTCTCTGTGTGTATCTCTGTGTATCTACAGGTCTCTGTGTGTCTCTATGGGTCTTTATGGGTCTCTGTGTGGCTCTATGGGTCTATGTGTGTATCTAGTGGGTCTCTGTGGGTCTCTGTGTATCTCTATGGGTCTCTGTGTATCTATGGGTCTCTGTGTTTCTCTATGGGTCTCTGTGTTTCTCTATGGGTCTTTATGGGTCTCTGTGTATCTTTATGGGTCTCTGTGTATCTTTATGGGTCTCTGTGGTGTATCTATGGGTCTCTGTGTGTCTCTGTGGGTCTCTGTGGGTCTCTGTGTATCTCTATGGGTCTCTGTGTGTATCTATGGGTCTCTGTGTGGTTCTGTATCTCTATGGGTCTTTGTGTCTCTGTGTATCTCTATGGGTCTTTATGGGTCTCTGTGTATCTTTATGGGTCTTTATGGGTCTCTGTGTATCTCTATGGGTCTCTTCTGACGTTACCCCCACCCCCCCCATGCCCCCCCCCCCCCTCGTGTTGGCACCATCATCAGCGGTGGTGAGGGACAGGCCGCCAGCGTGCAGTCGGTTGCTGGAGCGAAACCGGAGTCTGCACGAGGCCAACGCCCAGCTGAGCAGGGAGCTGCAGGTGTCTGTGGATCACACGGCGCACCTGCGTGAGAAGCTCATCCTGGTGAGTGGTGGTGGTGAGCGGGTGGTGAGCGGGTGGTGAGTGGGTGTGAGTGGTGAGTGGGGTGAGTGGGTGAGTGTGTGAGTGGTGAGTGGGTGAGAGTGCGAGAAGGTCATCCTGGTGAGTGGTGGTGGTGAGGGTGTGGGGGGTGAGTGTGGTGAGTGGTGGTGGTGAGTGTGAGTGGGGTGAGTGTGAGTGGGGAGTGTGTGAGTGGTGAGTGTGTGAGTGGTGAGTGGTGAGTGCGTGAGAAGCTCATCCTGGTGAGTGGTGGTGGTGAGCGGGTGGTGAGCGGGTGGTGAGTGGGTGTGAGTGGTGAGTGGGTGAGTGGGTGAGTGTGTGAGTGGTGAGTGGGGTGTGAGAGTGCGAGAAGGTCATCCTGGTGAGTGGTGGTGGTGAGGGTGTGGGGGGTGAGTGTGGTGAGTGGTGGTGGTGAGTGTGAGTGGGGTGAGTGTGAGTGGTGAGTGGGTGAGTGGTGAGTGGTGAGTGCGTGAGAAGCTCATCCTGGTGATTGGTGGTGGTGAGCGGGTGGTGAGCGGGTGGTGAGTGGGGTGTGAGTGGTGAGTGTGTGAGTGGGTGAGTGGGTGAGTGTGTGAGTGGTGAGTGGGTGAGAGTGCGAGAAGGTCATCCTGGTGAGTGGTGGTGGTGAGGGTGTGGGGGGTGAGTGTGGTGAGTGGTGGTGGTGAGTGTGAGTGGGGAGTGTGTGAGTGGTGAGTGTGGTGAGTGGGTGAGTGGTGAGTGTGTGAGAAGGTCATCCTGGTGGTGGTGGTGGTGGTGATGGTGGTGAGTGGGTCAGTGGGTGAGAGTGTGAGAGTGTAAGTGGGTGAGTGGGGTGGTGAGTGGTTGAGGCCATCCTGGTGAGTGGTGTTGGTGAGTGGTGAGTGTGTGAGTGTGTGAGTGGTGAGTGTGTGAGAAGGTCATCCTGGTGGGTGGTGAGTGGGTGGTGGTGAGTGTGAGTGGTGAGAGTGTGAGAGTGGTGAGCGTGTGAGTGTGTGAGTGGTGAGTGTGTGGAGAGTGAGTGGTGGTGTATGAGAAGGTCATCCTGGTGGGTGGTGAGTGGGTGGTGAGTGTGAGTGGTGAGAGTGGTGAGAGTGGTGAGCGTGTGAGTGTGTGAGTGGTGAGTGGTGAGTGTGTGAGAGTGAGTGGTGAGTGTATGAGAAGGTCATCCTGGTGGGTGGTGAGTGGGTGGTGAGTGTGAGTGGTGAGAGTGTGAGATGGTGAGCGTGTGAGTGTGTGAGTGGTGAGTGGTGAGTGTGTGAGAGTGAGTGGTGAGTGTATGAGAAGGTCATCCTGGTGGGTGGTGGTGGTGAGTGGTGAGTGAGTGGGTGAGAGTGTGAGAAGGTCATCCTGGTGAGTGGTGGTGGTGAGTGGTGAGTGAGTGGGTGAGTGGGTGAGAGTGTGAGAAGGTCATCCGTGGTGAGTGTTGGTGAGTCTGGTGGGTGGGTGAGAGTGTGCGAGTGTGTGAGTGTGTGAGTGTGTGAGAGTGAGTGGTGAGTGTGTGAGAGTGCGTGGTGAATGTGTGAGAAGGTCATCCTGGTGAGTGAGTGGTGAGTGGGTGGGTGGTGAGTGGGTGAGAGTGCGAGAGTGCGAGTGGTGTGTGTGTGTGTGAGCGTGTGTATGAGTGAGCGAGTGTGTGTGCGTGTGTATGAGCGTGTGTGTGTGCGAGTGTGTGTTGTGTGCGCGAGTGTGTGTGTGTGCGCGAGTGTGTGTGTGTGTGAGTGAGTGCGTGTGTGCTGTGTGAGCGAGTGCGTGTGTGCTGTGTGAGCGAGTGCGTGTGTGCTGTGTGAGTGTGGTGTGAGTGTGTGTGTGAGTGAGTGAATGTGGTGCTGTGTGTGAGTGAGTGTGTGCTGTGTGTGAGTGAGTGTGTGCTGTGTGTGAGTGAGTGTGTGCTTTGTGAGTGAGTGCGTGTGTGCTGTGTGAGTGTGTGTGCTGTGTGTGAGTGCGTGAGTGTGCTGTGTGCGTGGGGTGTGTGTGCTGCGTGTGTGGTGCGTGTGTGTGCTGTGTGGCTTCTCACTGGACCCCTTTGCCCCTCTCCCTGGCACCGCCTCAGTCGGAGATGGAGCGCCAGAAGCTGCTGGCGCGCTTTGCCGAGCTGAAGGATCATGAAGCGTGAGTCGCCCCGTTCTGTAGTGTGTAGTGTAGTGTGTAGTGTATAGTGTATAGTGTAGTGTGTAGTGTGTAGGGTATAGTGTGTAGTGTAGTGTAGTAACAATAGTGTAGTGTATAGTGTAGTGTATCTTAGTGTAGTGTATAGTGTAGTGTACTAGTACAGCACTAGTGTATAGTGTAGTGTATAGTGTAGTATACTAGTATATAATAGTGTAGTGTATAGTGTAGTGTGTAGTGTATCTTAGTGTAGTGTGTAGTGTATAGTGTATCTTAGTGTAGTGTATAATGTAGTGTATCTTAGTGTAGTGTATAGTGTAGTGTGTAGTGTAGTGTATCTTAGTGTAGTGATAGTGTAGTATACTAGTATATAATAGTGTAGTGTAGTGTGTAGTGCAGAGGTGGGAACTCGAGTCATGTGACTTGGACTCGAGTCATGAATTTGAGACTTCAGACTCGACTTGGACTTGCATAACAATGACTTGTTCCCACCTCTGGTGTAGTGTATAGTGTAGTGTGTAGTGTATAGTGTATCTTAGTGTAGTGTATAATGTAGTGTGTAGTGTATAATGTAGTGTGTAGTGTGTAGTGTATCTTAGTGTAGTGTAGTGTGTAGTGTATAGTGTATCTTAGTGTAGTGTATAGTGTAGTGTGTAGTGTATAGTGTATCTTAGTGTAGTGTATAGTGTAGTGTGTAGTTGTATAGTGTATCTTAGTGTAGTTATAATGTAGTGTATCTTAGTGTAGTGTGTAGTGTATAGTGTATCTTAGTGTAGTGTATAATGTAGTGTATCTTAATGTAGTGTGTAGTGTAGTGTATCTTAGTGTAGTGTATAATGTAGTGTATCTAGTGTAGTGTGTAGTGTATAGTGTATCTTAGTGTAGTGTATAATGTAGTGTATCTTAATGTAGTGTGTAGTGTAGTGTATCTTAGTGTAGTGTATAGTGTATAGTAGTGTAGTGTGTAGTGTAGTGTATCTTAGTGTAGTGTGTAGTGTATAGTGTATCTTAGTGTAGTGTGTAGTGTATCTTAGTATAGTGTATAGTAGTGTAGTGTATCTTAGTGTAGTGTATAGTGTATCTTAGTGTAGTGTGTAGTGTATCTTAGTATAGTGTATAGTAGGTAGTGTATCTTAGTGTAGTGTGTAGTGTAGTGTGTAGTGTATAGTGTATCTTAGTGTAGTGTGTAGTGTATCTTAGTGTAGTGTAGTAACAATAGTGTAGTGTATAGTAGTGTAGTGTATAGTAGTGTAGTGTATAGGTATTGTATAATAGTGTATGTGGATAGTGTAGTGTAGTGTGTAGCAGAGGTGTGGACTCGAGTCATGTGACTTGGACTCGAGTCATGAATTTGATGACTTCAGACTCGACTCGGCAAAATGTACAAAGACTTGCAACTCGACTTGGATTTGCATAACAATGACTTTGTCCCACCTCTGGTGTGTAGTGTATAGTAGTGTATTGTGTAGTGTAGTATAGTGTAGTGTGTAGTGTATAGTGTAGTGTATCTTAGTGTAGTGGATAGTGTAGTGTGTAGTGTGTAGTGTAGTGTGTAGTGTGTAGTGTAGTATAGTGTAGTGTGTAGTGTATAGTGTAGTGTATCTTAGTGTAGTGGATAGTGTAGTGTGTAGTGTAGTGTGTAGTGTATAGTAGTGTAGTGTATAGTAGTGTATAGTAGTGTAGTGTATAATCGTGTAGTCTATAGTAGTGTAGTGAATAGTGTATAGTAGTGTATAGTAGTGTATAGCAAAGTGTTCAGCATTGGCAGCGTGGGGTGTTGGCACACGCCTAGCGGCCCCCCCCCCCATCTCCCCCACAGGTGCCGGCTTGACATCATGTCCCTAGTGGACACGCAGACTGATGAGGGGGGGCTCAGGCAGCAGCTGCAGCTACCTGCTGAGTTTTCAGGAACTCATCAATGAGCTGGAGGTACCACCACCACCACCATCGAAACATCCTCACTCTCTCACTCACTCACTCTCTCAGCTCAGGTCACTCACTCTCTCTCTCACTCACTCTCACTCACTCCTCCTCTCACTCACTCTCCACTCACTCTCAGCTCACTCACTCTCAGCTCACTCACTCTCTCACTCACTCACTCACTCTCTCACTCTCTCACTCTCTCACTCTCTCACTCTCTCACTCAGTCACTCACTCTCTCACTCACTCTCACTCACTCACTCGCTCACTCTCTCACTCTCTCACTCTCACTCACTCACTCTCTCACTCACACTCACTCACTCACTCTCTCACTCACTCTCTCACTCACTCTCACTCACTCTCTCACTCTCTCACTCTCTCACTATCTCACTCACTCTCTCACTTACTCTCTCACTCACTCACTCACTTCACTCACTCACTCGCTCACTCTCTCACTCTCTCACTCTCACTCACTCACTCTCTCACTCACTCTCATCACTCATCACTCTCTCACTCACCTCTCTCTCACTCACTCACTCACATTCTCTCTCTCACTCACTCTCTCACTCACTCTCTCACTCTCACTCACTCACTCTCCACTCACTTCTCACTCACTCACCACTCTCTCACTCACTCTCTCTCTCACTCACTCTCTCACTCACTCTCTCACTCACTCTCTCTCACTCACTCACTCTCTCACTCACATCTCTCTCACACTCTCTCACTCACTCTCTCACTCACTCTCTCTCACTCACTCCTCTCACTCCATCTCCAGCTCACTCCTCTCTCACCTCCTCTCTCTCTCTCTCAATCACTCTCTCTCCACACTCTCTCACTCACTCTCCTCACCACTATCTCACTCACTCCCTACTCTCTCACGCACGTCTCTCACTCACTCTCTCACTCACTCTCACTCACTCTCTCACTCTCTCACTCACACTCTTCTCACTCACTCTCTCACTCACTCTCTCACTCACTCTCTCACTCTCTCACTCACACTCTCCTTCACTCACTCTCACTCTGCCCCACAGCCAGTGTCCGGTGTGCTTTTACTTTCCAAAGCATTCAGTGTACCTGCCTTTACGGCAATAAACACTCATCGTCATCACACACCACGTCGCCACCGCTCACAGCCAGTGTCCGGTGTGCTCTTCATCCGGCCTCTCACACCCCTTCACCTAGCAGAGTAGCTCTTCCGCTCCCACCTCCTCACCCTCCTCCCCAGCCGGCGGCGGCGACGGTAGTGGTGTCCTCTTCAATGCCTCGGGGGGGAAGGGGGTGATGGGGGGGGATGGCGGCTGCTTTCGGACCTTGTTCATCAAGGCTTTACCCGGAAGATTTCCTGGCGGCTATATCCGAACGTGCTCGGGTCCTGGACCACACGCCGAGCTGTGCTCATAAAGTTCTTCCTGTTGGGGAAACTGTCCTGCACGGACACTCACTCATATGTACATTCACTCACTCACACGTACACTCACTCACACGTATACTCACACAGACACTCACACGTACACTCACTCACACGCACACACACTCACTCACACATACATTCACTCACTCACCGTACACTCACTCACACGTACACTCACACAGACACTCACACGTACACTCACTCACACGTACACTCACTCACACGTACACTCACACGTACACTCACTCACACGTACACTCACACGTACACTCACACGTACACTCACTCACACGTACACTCACTCACACGTACACTCACACGTACACTCACTCACACAGACACTCGTACACTCACTCACTCACACGTACACTCACTCACACGTACACTCACTCACACGTACACTCACACGTACACTCCCACGCACACTCACTCACACGTACACTCACACGTACACTCACACGTACACTCACTCACACGTACACTCACTCACACGTACACTCACACGTACACTCACTCACACGTACACTCACACGTACACTCAAACGTACACTCACTCACACGTACACTCACACGTACACTCACTCACACGTACACTCACACGTACACTCACAGTACACACTCACACGTACACGTACCTCACACGTACACTCACTCACACGTTCACTCACACGTACACTCACTCATACGTACACTCACTCATACGTACACTCACTCACATGTAACACCTCACACGTACACTCACTCATACGTACACTGACTCACACGTACCTCACACGTACACGCACGGACACTCTCACTCACACAGACACTCACACAGACGTTACACTCACTCACACGTACACTCACTCACACGTACACTCACACGTACACATCACACTTACACTCACTCACATGGACACTCACCTCACACGTACACTCACTCACACGTAACACTCACACTTACACTCACACGTACACTCACTCACACGGACACATCACTCACTCACCACGTACACTCACTCACACGTACACTCACTCACACGTACACTCACATGTACATCACTCACACGGACACTCACTCACTCACACAGACACTCACTCACACGTACACTCACTCACACGTACACTCACTCACACGTACACTCACACGTACACTCACTCACACGACACTCGTACACTCACTCACTCTCACGTACACTCACTCACACGTACACTCACTCACACGTACACTCACACGTACACTCACACGTACACTCACTCACACGGACACTCACTCACACGTACACTCACTCACACGTACACTCACTCGCACGTACACTCACACGTACACTCACTCACACGTACACTCACTCACACGTACACTCACTCACACGTACACTCACACGTACACTCACTCACACGTACACTCACACGTACACTCACTCACACGTTCACTCACATGTACACTCACTCATACGTACACTCACTCACATGTACACTCACACGTACACTCACTCATACGTACACTGACTCACACGTACACTCACACGTACACTCACACGGACACTCACTCACACAGACACTCACTCACACGTACACTCACTCACACGTACACTCACACGTACACTCACTCACACGTACACTCACTCACACGTTCACTCACACGTACACTCACTCACACGTACACTCACTTCACAGTTACACTCACACTACACTAACGTTCCACTTCACTCACCGTTACACTCACTATCCATACGTACACTCACATGTACACGTACATCACTCATACGTACACTGACTCACACGTACACTCACACGTACACTCACGGACACTCACTCACACGTACACTCACTCACACGTACACTCACTCACACGGACACTCAACTCACACGTACACTCACTCACACGGACACTCACTCACTCACACGTACACTCACTCACACGTACACTCACTCACACGTACACTCACACGTACACTCACTCACACGTACACTCACCTCTACGTACACTGACTCACACGTACACTAACACGTACACTCACACGTACACTCACTCACAGTACACTCACTCACACGTACACTCACACGGGACACTCACTCACACAGACACTCACTCACACGTACACTCACACGTACACTCACTCACACGTACACTCACACGTACACTCACTCACACTTACACTCACTCACACGGACACTCACTCACTCACACGTACACTCACTCACACGTACACTCACTCACACGTACACTCACACGGACACTCACTCACACAGACACTCACTCACACGTACACTCACACGTACACTCACACGTACACTCACTCACACAGACACTCACACGTACACTCACTCGTACACTCACTCACACGTACACTCACCTCACACGTACACTCACACGTACACTCACTCATACGTACACTGACTCACACGTTACACTCACACGGGACACTCACTCACACAGACACTCACTCACACGTACACTCACACGTACACTCACTCACACGTACACTCACACGTACACTCACTCACACGGACACTCACTCACTCACACGTACACTCACTCACACGTACACTCACACGTACACTCACTCACACGTACACTCACTCACACGTACACTCACTCACACGTACACTCACACGTACACTCACTCACACGTTCACTCCACACGTACACTCACTCATACGTACACTCACTCACACGTACACTCACTCACACGTACACTCACACGTACGTACCTGACTCGCATGTACACTCACACGTACACTCACTCATACGTACACTGACTCACACGTACACTCACACGTACACTCACGACACTCACTCACACAGACACTCACTCACACGGACACTCACTCACACGTACACTCACTCACACGGACACTCACTCACACGTACACTCACTCACACGTACACTCACTCACACGTACACTCACACGTACACTCACTCACACGTACACTCACTCACACGTACACTCACACGTACACTCACACGTACACTCACTCACACGTACACTCACTCACACGTACACTCACACGTACACTCACTCACACGGACACTCACTCACTCACACGTACACTCACTCACACGTACACTCACACGTACACTCACTCACACGTACACTCACTCACACGTACACTCACACGTACACTCAACTCACACTTACACTCACACGTACACTCACACGTACACTCACTCACACGTACACTCACTCACACGTACACTCACAAGTACATCTCACTCACACAGACACTCGTACACTCACTCACTCACCACGTACACTCATCTCACACGTACACTCACTCACACGTACACTCACACGTACACTCACAAGCACACTCACTCACACGTACACTCACACGTACACTCACACGTACACTCACTCACACGTACACTCACTCACACGTACACTCACACGTTACACTCACTCACACGTACACTCACACGTACACTCAAACGTACACTCACTCACACGTACACTCACACGTACACTCACTCACACGTACACTCACACGTACACTCCACACGTACACTCACTCACACGTACACTCACACGTACACTCACTCACACGTTCACATCACACGTACACTCACT